CAATTTCCCAGCGGCCGTGGACGTGGACGGCGCGCGTCCCTTTCTCGCGGCCACGATTCGTCTTTTCCCCTCGGAGATCGGAACAGCGAGCCGTTGCTTCAACCATTCTTTCCACTTCTCTTTCGAGGGGGGAGATTTAAGAGCGTCGCTCGACCAACAGCTCACCACAGGATGAATAGAACAATTCGAGGATAAGAAGAGTCGCGTATCACTCTCGTGATAATGAAAGAAAATTGCGTGTAAGCGAAACGATATATCTTTGTGCAGGAAGGAATAGCGAAACATTTTTTATTGTTGACGAAAGAATCGTTCGAAATGCGTGGATTCTTATCTTATTAAGTTTAGGGCGTGATGTCACTCTTGAGAAATTGAGGGGGAAAAGGGGGAAGGGAGGGGGTCGAAAGGGAGACGATACATTTGTGACGTGTGTCAGAAATGGTCGGACGTCGGAAGTTGACGAAAGTGAGCTGTTGGTCGGGATCGGCCAAGAGTCAACTGAAACCCGTTTTTTTTCTTTTCCTTTTTTTTTTTTGTTTCTCTTCTCTTCTTTTCTATTCTTTCTTTTTTTTTTTTTTTTTTTTCCATCGAGAACCGAGCGAAACGGTGTCACGAATAAAAGCGAAGCGTCAATCGAAATTTGTGTCCGTACGAAGATAGAACCGAGCGAAATACACGGGTGAAGATAGAAAGCGCGCGCTAACCAGCCTGGTTATCTCTCTAAGCCCTCCTCAGCGTTAACGTGAATCTATCCGAAGTATTGAATCGTGATTGACGAGTTTTTATTATTTTTTTTTTTTATTTTTATTTATTTTTTTTTTTCCTCCTAATTTTTTTCAACTCGACGATTTTACTTTTACTTTTACTTTTACTTTTACTTTTTTTTTTTTTTTTTTTTTTTTACGCCGCTCCTCTAATCAACTAAACTAAACCGAAAAAGATCAGCGGGGAAGAGGGAAAGGGAAAGGAGAGGGGGAGGGCACGACTTATTTACAAACTTCTTTTTAACAGGAATAAGACAAGAGCGAAGACAATCGGGTGCTCGAGAAACTAAACGAATCCTCCTCGATGAACGTTTGCTACACCACGTTTTATCCCCTTTGCACACTTCTCGCATTTCTATTGCTCTACGAGATCCTCGAACGAGATACATCGCGGAGATTTTGAAACGAACTCTTGAAAAAAAAAAAAAAAAAAAACGAACATTTCTAAACGAACTCGGAAGGCGCGAGTGAAGATTACTCGCCGATCCTACCTAACGTAACGTAACCCTTCGTGTCAATCGTGGGAAATGTACGAAATGTATATCGTATACTTTTTTAATCTGGTCTAATCGTGCAATACTCCCTCCGCTAACGAATAATTATATCGTTCCCCGATGCAACGATCACTAGCTCATCATCACCGATCGCTACTTGTTGCAAAATCGAGAAATCGCTTTGATAAATTTATTTATTCGTGTGCACGTGTGTACACGTCTCCTCGTTATTCTCTCTCGTTCACTCGCCTGTTTTTGTTTTTTGTTCTTTTTTTTTTCTTTTTTTATCACACACACATACGTACGTACATATACACTCTCTGTGTCTCTCTCTCTCTCTCTCTCTCTCTCTCTCTCTCTCGTTCGTTCAACAATTTATTGCTTTCGCTATAATAATAAATCTCTAAAGTCCTCTAAAGCGTCGTAAGGAGAGATTATTAACATTAATGGCGCGTTCGAACCGAAAGGGAGATTGGGGATCCCCTCTGCCGGTTTCCAGAGAAAATTCTGAAAACGTTGCAACAAGCTTGTCGTCGATCCTCCGTGTCCTTGGCGAATCGAGCGATCCTTTTCTTAATCCCTCCAATTTTTCAAATCGAATTTCTGAAAATATAAATATATTAATTTATTTTGTTAAACAGTTAAATCATAGTGAAGGTAGAAGAATTTTTTTTTTTTTTTAACGAGGTCGATTTCTATTACCCGAATCGATTCCCTCCGACGCAAGATCGCTCGACAATTGTTGAAGAAAAATAATTAAGCCCTTGTCGCGTTTCCTCGCTCTTCACGTCCCACAATCACACCACGCCGTATCTCGTATATCCAATGATCGATTTATGAGATGAAACCTGACGTTGTCGGCGAACGATCGTCCAAGCCTGATCGTCATCACCAGGTGGTGCACTTGTTGGGGGGGTTCATTTTCGTTCCGAGCGGGCAACGGAACGCGTCCGCGAACGCTTGAGAGTTCATCATTATACCGTTGACCCTGATGTTTCAAGAAAGAAATCACGAGAATATTGATATTATCGAATGTTTCGTTCGATAATAAGAGAAAGAAGTAGTGGCGGATTATGTTAATCGCGATCAATACCTTTCGGGCTGAGGTGTGTGGTAATCGAGCTCAACGGAAAGAATGTAGGCCTCGGCAGTCATGTTGGAACAGTAAGTCTGAAAAAGAAGATAAGAATCTTTGTCAAAAAAAAACATCATCATCTTCTTCTAATTCTAAATTAAAAATCCAAAAAGATTGCTTTAAGTTAAAGAAATTGATAACGCGTGTCAATGCGGCGCGAAAAATCGAAGAAAATCCTCTTCGTGAAGAATATTGATTTTCGATAAAGCAACAGAGAGAGAGAGAGAAAAAAAAGAAAAAAAAATAGTCGTAAAAATGCAACGAAATTCAAAATGGCTGTGCATACTGACGACAACGCTTGGATATTGGACCGCGTATACGCAAAAGGAAAAAAAGGGAAAATTCTTTTTCTTGCAAAAAGCCACGTCAACCTCCACGTAATAGGAAATTGAACGCGTACGTACAGTCGGCATACTTGAAACGACACGTGGAATTTAAAATATCTCGATATAGAAAAGGGGAGGGGAAATAATAAAAAATTTGAAGAAAAGCTGGGAAACCAGCTAATCTCGAATCGATGAAATACCGGCCGGTCCGTTTACCTGGGCGGCGCTTATGAAGAAAAGCTGGCTCGCGCGAAGTCCCTCCAATCCTGGAAGACTTCGATCCTTGCCGTTCGTCAAAGTGTGCCAGGTTTTATACGAAATCTGCAAGGCTCCGATATCAGCTACGTTCTCGTTCCTCGTCACGTTCCAATCAAACTGAAACACGTTTCACGACCTTCGATTTCACGACCGCATACGAGAAACTTACAAGGGGATATATATATTTTTCCCAACCTGTACAGCAACGTCGTTCCCGTAAAATTGAACCTTCCTCCAGAAACTCCTGGCGTAAAGCCTCGCCACGCATTCGATCCTCGCCTCCAACCTCTTCCAAGACTCGGGCGTGATCCAGAGCCATTGATCGACGTTTATATCGGGATCCAATGGCAGTCGGCGTCGATGGAGGTCGAAAGCGTGGAGGATCTCGTGGCCGATCACAGATCCGAGGGTCGCGTGCGCTGCATACGCTGGTCCACCGTCCCAGGACCACGACCAAGCTGTCATCATAGCCAGTGGGATGCCTGAAATCGAGCTACTTTTTCCACCGTTCCTCAAAGAATGGAACAAATGGTTCAAAAGTTTTTCGTTTTTTTTATTTTTTTTTTTTACCAATCGTATTCGTCGATGATTCGTAGTAGGCGTTCACGCTGTAGGGATGACGACGCCTGCGAAAGTAAATTCGTTTATATTCAAAGTATTCGCGCGTTTCGAGTAAAATGTTGGATAGATGAGGCGGTTTCTTACTTCTCGGTCACGTTTCTCCTCAAAACCTTGTCGTCGACGGTGCGAATCTGTTGGAACCGTCTCAACACGGTGTGGAAAAAGTCGTCCGGATCGATGTCCACCTGTCGAAGGCAACAGAAGGGGAAAAATTTAGGGTAATAAATAGGTATCGATACGCGGTTGGAATGTAAAGAAGAAGCCGTTCACCTCGGCCATTTCTCGGGCCAGTAAACTCTCGTTGTAGAAACCAGGCCACACGTGAAATCTTCCCCGCAACGAGTTCAACTTCAACAACGCCTGCGTCCTCGTCTCCTCGTCCAGCCAAGATTTCACCAAAATACGCTCGGCTACTGTCTCTTTCACGCGCTCGAACAGCCCCCCCACCTGTTCGCGACACCAATACAATTTGTTTCGTGCGATGGAGGAAAAGGAAATATTCATTTTTCTTCCATCTCTCGTCTTAACATCTCTAAGATAACTAAGCTAACTAAGAATGTTCGTTAGTGTTCGTGCACGAAAACGAGACTATTTTTCATCCCCTTACCCTGTTCGCTAGGGTTTCTAGATATTGAGGCGTGTACTGCTGCACGTAGAGAGCGCCCACGACTTCACCGAACACCTCCTTGGTCAGTTTGAAACAAGAAAGCTTCCAATCCTTGCTCCCCGTCACGTTCACGATGTCGTGGAGAGTGTCCGTCGCGTACAGCAGCAACAATCCATTGTGAATAATCCTTCGTAACAAGATGCCCTCGTGAGTATTATTCTATTAAAACCTTATTTACGTTTACGATCCATCTCTCTTTCTCTCTCTCTGTTTCGATCAATCCTCGATCTAGGATCGGCTATAACTTTTTGTGTAGGATGAAATAACGAGCCTGCGAGAATAGGCACCAAAAATATATATATATATATTTCGTCGGAAAGTATAATGGCCTCGTGGCTATAATAATAATGAACAGCTGGCAGCGAGAGCATAACGAATTAACGTTATCGATTCCATCGAGGCTCTATGGTCACGCTACCATAAATACGAAGCCATTTAAACGAATTCGAGGATATTCTTTATGCCCGTGATAATATTATACGCTCTTTAACTTTTAAACTCGTGATCCTTTTATTTTTAACTGCGTTTTTTCTTCTATGTATTTTTATATACATTGAGATGTATCAAGATCATGCTTTCACAAGTCGTTTCCACTACCATGATAAAATGATGCTTTTAAATTTTCTTTATGGTTATGGAGGTATGAAGAAGTATCTAAGTGGAAGTCAGTGATGGGCAAAATTACAAATAAACTTATTTGAACAATTTATTGTTCAAAACGTAATAATAATCGCGAATAATTAGACTGTCGAATTGTCGAGGTTTCTAAGAACGAATCAGTTATAATAGCTATATGATAAATGTTATTCGAGCATTTTAATATCAAGTGATTACTTGAAATAACTTTATTCGATTTTTCAACGAGTTAATGCTCGATTTTGGGATTAATAATTTCCAAAAATATTGGAAAATATTTTTTTTTTAATGTACAGCGATAAAAATCTTTTTAGACCAACGATAATTTCCGCGTACATGGAAACAGCATTGGCGCAGATGCGCCGAAATTTCCTGACGAAGTATAATGGACGAATTAGGCACCGATTTACGATGCATGCTCGCCGCTGGTATCAAAATTTATGATCGTGCTATACGTTTATTAACCGCGGTGCTACGACACCGTGCGTACGAAATTCTCTCCTCGTAAATGTTATACATTCCCCCACACCCCGATACCATCCATCTATGAACAAATCTTCGCGACACTTTAACCTTACTTTTCCAACCACCTTTCGAAATGATTAAAATGATTAAAAATTACCGCGACGCGATTTAAAACGTGATTCGAAATTAGCTTAGCGCATTTCTTTATACGCAATCGAAATTAACGGAGGGAAAATTGGAAAAGTTTAGATCAATATTCACGAGACGTTGCAAATGCGCTTCGAAAAAAGCGGAACTTGGTTCGCAAGGACGGATAGATGGTTGGTTGGTAGAAATTGGCGAGTGTCTCGTTCCGCGAAATACCTTCGACAGTAATTATCGCTGTAGCTGTATCCGCTCCCTCCATTTGCGTAGTGTCTGTCTAAGAGAGATAATAGCGAGGAACGAGCGTAGGCTGCCAAGAGTGGCGTTTTGGAATTCTCGAATGTTTGCTCTCCTATCGGCACGCTCCGCTATTGCTGATATTAGGAATAAATTAGCAAAGTTCGAAGTCCACGATTTGTCACCACGTTCATCCATTTAAATAGGAAATGAGAAAATTACGCGAAAATTGTATCATTTATTGTTATATATTATATAATTGTGCGAAAATTTTCACATTGTAAAATGTTATCTGTCGCTTCGTGCTTTGCATCGATCGAAAGAATTTCAACGTTCTTTGCTGGAAAGATCCGCGTTCCACCGTGTTCACCGACCGAATAACTCGAGTCGAGCTGTCTTCCAACGAATACCACTTATTTTATCTCTTTTCGTATCTATCTTTTTTTTTATTGTTAAACAACTCGATCTAGGAAATCGATTTACCAATTGAATTCGATCTCTCGTCGGAATAACGAGATATTTCTTTCTCTCTCTCTCTCATACACACAAATTTACTCTTCTAAACTGAGAGATGTTTGAGAGCTTCTATCGAAATTTTTCGACAAACGATTCTCGAGCTCGAGTTACCACTTTACGAAGAAAAGCAAAGCGTCCGTCTCGTTTTTCACGCTTCGAAATTGTATTTTTCTGCCGCCCTTCTTAAAACTGTCACGCGTAACTTCGATCGAGGGTGCGAATTCGTTTCGATAGTGACCGCTTGAGAGGAAGTTGCGGTACGCGTATATGCATTATGCAAATGCAAATGCCAGTGCCATCAAAGTGAAATTCGGCTCACACGGAGCGTGAAAGTCAACCAAGCGTGGTGAGAACCTCGTTTCGTGCGATCGGTTTACGATTCGTGGTAATCGATGTTCAGAGCATTACTTCCTCGCGCAGAGTTGCGGAATTATCGGGAAAAATATGGAATCGTGCGGCTAATAGAGGAGTTTGAAAGAACTTGAAGAAACTCATCCACGTATTTTATCTTTAAAATACGTAAAGATCTCGCTTCTCTGTTTTTTAATAACTTTTTAAACGTTCAACGGATTATTGAAAACGAAATTTCCTTAACAATATCGTATATCAGAGTTATCCCTGTTCTAAATTCGATAATTAATTATGTCCGTTTGAATTATAAATTTTGGAAATTGTCGAGTCATCGGGACTATTATCCTCAAAGAGCCTGCTTTTGTTCCATTCGACAAAAGAGAAATTATGGGGGGATTAATTGGGCCGAACGAAAGGCGAATTAATCGTGTTTCGATTCTCTCTTTGTTCCTATAAAGTGCCTCGATTATCGAACGATATATCAATTTTCCCCCGCCGAATCGATTCTTCTTCTTCGCGCTGCGAAGACGAGTTTCTCTTTTTTCAAACCCTTTGACAGAGTCGAGCAATTGTCAAAGAATCGGGGAGGAAATGTGCGAGCGAAAATTCGCAAAAATCGTAGAAACGAATCTTCCCATCGAAATATCGAAAAATCGAAGACTTTAAGAAAATTATTTTGAAGGACAAGAGCTCGACGCAAGGAGCATCTTGCCAGGAGGGATGATGCTGACAATAATTTTACCACTACAAATTCATCGTCATCAGTTTCTAAGCAACTTTCCACGCTTGCAATCCGTCACGATGTCAAATGACACCGCGTTTCCTAATGGACTCCTCGTGAACTCGACATTCGATTCATATTTCCCATCGTATATTCCTTATTCATACCTCGAATATCGAAAGTAAACGCAGTTCAACGCAATAAAACCTTCCGATTGGCCGCGTTACGTTCCATTAATATCCATAATTCGTTAGTCGATTCATTGGCCGAATGGCCGATTATTTACTCGGCTCGAATCCTCAACTTCCGGTCTATCGACCGGAAAGCTCGTTATCAATAATATATACGCATGCATACACGCGTATTTTGAACAACAGCCAGCCAGAACTTTTGTAGAGCACAACCGTTATTTATCCAGGGAAAACAGGACAGAACTAACAGTTCAGCCTCGCGTTTATAAAATTATCATCGGCTGTATTAGCTGATATAATATTTTCCGATGGTTGTTGACGAACGTGCGGCGAAAGGGGAGCGGATACTACGCGTGAATATTTCAATCCATTCATCATAATCATAATAATTCAACCCGATTTACGCGCCCATTTTTACTCACGCTTCGTCGTGTAAATTATTTAACGAGGAATCCATTTCCATCGGATAAAAATTGTCCACACTGGTTTCCTCCCATAAAGAAGAAAAATTATCGAAGGGATTCGATAGGGATGTTATCGAAAGTAATTTCGATAGGAGGAGCGATCGTAAAAATTGCAGGTGCAGTTACCTTCCATCGTTATTTTTAATGTCGCAGGCGATTCGGTTAATAAATAGCGACTGCTTGCGCCATCGTAAAAAAAAAAGAAAAAATGCCGTTTTCCTAGTATTTTCTCGCTTCATCTTCGAGAATAATTCCTCAACGCTCTATAATATTTTTTGTTGCGATTCTTGATGAAATAGAAAGTGTAATTTCCTCTAGACACTAAATCTAAATTTCAAACTTTATCCGTTTCGTTCACCCACGTTTGGAATGATAAAGGACGAAGGTCTCGAAACAATGGTTTCGTTCGCGAATAATCAGTTGTTCAAATCAAAAGATCAGCATTCGATTGAAGCTCGAGTCTTTAACATCCCGGACTTAATTTTGCGGAAGAATCGAATTCGTCCTTTTGTGGCAAAAATACGAGCCAATGGACATCAAAGTCTGAGGAGCCATGTTTTCGCGGATAAATTGCTCCCCGATCTTTCAGAAAACCAGAAATTCACAAAAAAAAATAAATATAAAATAAAATATCCCTTCGCCGTTAAAGTTTCTCGCGAGCTCGCATTTTTCCAAAAATAGAGGAAATTTTCAAAAAAAATTCTTCTCGATCCTCCTCCCGCCAGTTTCTCCTCGGTTTCGAGGTTCGAAACGGAAAGATAGCGGATGTTTTCAGGGAATTCGTATCGTAGCACCGCTCACCTCCTGGAAAAGCGATTCAGCAGTTTGCCAAGGCTGCGGAAGTAACGCGGGGCGGTAACGTAAACGTAG